ACATCAGATAGAACTCTTATAAGTCTCAATCAACTCCTGGGATTCTCAGGTTTCAGCCTGTAACCGCTTTAATTTTTCCTTTACAGTCCTTTTAAATTACATGTGCTTAAAAATGTGATTTTTAGAAGATCAGAAAATTTTGGTTTTTGTGAAAAAATGAATATTTTTTTCTAATATGAAATATTTCAAATGGTTTATTGTGAAGGGGAGAAAATAATATTAAATATATTGAAATTCCATATCGTCATAAACACCCAGGAAATATAAAATATTCTTTATTCAAATACATTAAATCACTTGAATTCAATGACTGGAAAAATTATTATTTTGTCAAGAAAAATTAATAATATAAAATCAACATTCCATTATTTGCGTTGGATTTCAGAAATTTTTAAAATATCAAATATTTTTAGGCATTTTTTATATCTTTTAAACTTTCCAGTTTTGGGGTCATGTAAAGTCCTACAATTAATTTGGACCCGATCGGCTAAGCTGTTTTGAGGTTTTATGGTTATCAAACATTTATTTGAAATATTTCTAGAAGAACTGAACCACTGTTTAAGCATGCAAACTATAAACTGTTATGCACTATATGCAATATGTATGACATATTATTGCAGTTAATTGGAAAGGGGATAGAAGGAAATGAGATGCTAGGGGGGAGGGGGGGTAAAATGATCCCCCTCCCCCTTGTTTTCCAGTTTACTGAGCAGTAAATAACTAAAGAGATCTGGTGCGAGAAGTTTATTAAAAATTCCTTCACATTTCCCTTCCATTCGGTAGAATCAAATTCCTTGGGGAATTCAATAATAGAGCCAGCTAGGACGTGGAGGAGGAGGAGGAGGAGGAGGAGGAGGAGGAGTAGGAGTAGGAGTAGGAGTAGGATAAAGCGTTTATAGTTGTGAATTGGATATGCCACTCTAGAAATCTACTTAGATGCAAAGTTAAGTAAAGGAACAAAGTAAAAATAGGTAATTTAGACCCAGATAATGGGTGAAAGGGTTAATTACAAGAACATCTGAATCTTTGTAAAGTGTAAATACACGAAACCTCGAATTTATTTTGAAACGCGATATTACTAAATTATTAATTGCTTAGCATTTTTAGAATTTTAATTTATTTTACAGTTCACTAGACAGAAGATCATGCGTCATTGCTGGTATGGTTTTGTGACCTTGTAGATCCTATAGTAATTTATTTGGTTATATATAGTGTTAATAGCACTTGAACAAGAGGAGCTAGTCTAGTTTAAAATAAAAACATGAAAGATTTCAATCTAAAAAAAAATACAAATGCAGTTTTCGTTTAGTATAACTTAACATTAAATGCCTAGCTAATAATAATATAGTATACAATATAAAAGGACCTTGCTATGTAAAGTATTTAGAAAATATTTAAATTATATATGAAAAAATGAAGATATAAAGTAAAGATCAATTAACCCATGGCTGAGTTCTAAATGGAAAAAAGTCAACCTAAAATTGTTGAAAGTTTGCCGCTGACAAGTTATCAAAATTAAAGAAGATGCTCAAAATTAAAGAAGCTCACAGCACTTGAAATTACGATGCACTCCCTTTAAGAAGCAATAACTACACAGTTTTAGGATAATATATAAAGATTAAAAATGCCTTACTTTTATAGTATTTTTATCAGACAACACACGACACGGTTCTGTCAATATTCCAGAAAGCTGTGACTTTCGATTACAATTTGACCCATTAAACATAATTTGTTAGCCTTTTTTTAAAATACTTTTTTGTTGGCATATGCATTTTGAATAAAAATATATAAATTATACAAATCCGTAAAGTAAATGATTATTGAATTAAAGACCCAAACACGTTTGATTTCAAATTGAAGAAACCGAATGCTGCTCACACTGGTTAGTCCGGTGTGACGAGGACACAAAGATCCTGCCATGGGCGACTTTTTGTCCAGGATTATGTTAGAAAACTAATTGTTACGACTGTTATCTTATTTTATCTATTCAAGTGTGATTTACATGAGTTTCGTATCAGTTACGACTGCAGCTGTCCAAAAAAAACACAACTTTCCAAAAAACTGGCGACGATATAAATTAATTCATCTGTTGCACCTTCAATAAAAAAGTCAATTTTAAATAAGAAAATTATTTTTAAACTTTGTTTTAAATCTGGTACACCCTGCATTGAGTACATGTGCGCTAGGGTAAGGCACCACGAACTAAACTTTAAGTGCGTTTCAGTGATTTGCAGTACTCTGACCGAAGAAATAGTGGGGTTTAGTTGAGGGGGAAGGGGTTGGTTGGGATGCGGGAGGGGGTCTTTGGCACCCTAGGAATGAATATTTGTATATATGTAGATTTGATATTTACAAATTATACAAAAATAATTACGGGTAGGAAGTTAGATATAAACTTGTGTCCAAGAAATTTCATGAACCTGGGGAAAATTGTAGTAAAGGGAGGGGAAAGTGCTTGAGGGGAGGGGAATATAGCTTGAAGGAGAGTAGTAATTACCTTAAAGGGGGAAATGGGGGGCAGGAATAGTCACCAAAGAAAGATAAGAATTAGAAATAATTATTCACCTTGACTCAATCCATTTCTTACGGCTTAGTTTGGGTATAATGCTAAGCTGATGTCTTACCAATTATCATTTTTACTCCCCCCCCCCCCCCTCCCCAACTTGAAATTGATTATAAAATTGATATTTTGATATTTTTACGAATTATTATACTTTTACACTCTAATCAACCATAATTCGAAGATTAGATGGACTGCAGACGTAATTTCAAGTTAAAAAAATAAATAAATAACGGTTTACTGTGATAAAATCAAATAGTGATTATCATTCACAGATAATTATGAAACAAGAAGATCGGTTTAGCAGTCTCTTGATATATGGAATGGCAGATTTTCTATATTTTTTCTGTCCTGGCATTAATTTTAAGTTATCCTCCATATAAAGAGTTACAACTGAACCCTTTACAAAAAATTGCTTGTTTTCCAAAGCAACTTCTCTGTAAAAAAGACTTTCGAATTTATTGAACTTAGATTATTCAGAAAATGGACAAAAAATATCTTCCTTATTTCTAATTATTTAAAGTATCAAAGAGCACTTAAATTTTCGTGAACAGCCTCTTTAAAATAATTCCCGTTGATAATTTTAGAATGTTCTTTCTATTGCCTGGGAACTTTGTTATCTCGCCAAAGAGTAATAAATATTCATTTTTTAAAACTAATTGTAGTGATAGCGATACAATTGCACTTTTTCTCTTTCTTTAAAGTATAAATACATTAAATATTTTTTTTTAAATCTTTTACGAACCCACTTATAGTTTTTTTTTCTTTATACAGAGCTTCCCATATCTTATATATGGGCTTTTATGAATGCATTGTAAAACAATTTTTAAAAAAGTTCAAAATCTAATGACAGTCGAATTTTGTTGGAGGCTAATTTTGAAATTTTGATCATCCAAAAACCTTCCCTATGGTCATTTGAGGTCCCGAACAAAATTTGGGCCCATTTTGACGATTATTGGATACATACACATAGACAGACACCCGGCCAAACGGACAAGCAGAGTATATACTATAGATATTGAATCAAGCTTTAACTCTAAAAAACGAACAGAATATTTAAAAAAACAGTATTTTCTGCATTAACATTTTAACATAAGTCTGATTTTCGGCTTAATTTGTAATAATGTGTGCTTTTTTCTGAATCATTTAATATTTTCAAATTGAATGAATTCTTCAAATGTTTGGAAGAAATTTTAAATATTTAAACCATGTTAAAAAAAAACATTTAAAGAATAGACGAAGTAGGAAAAGAGGGGGATACTTAAAATTATCACCCCTTTAAGAAGGGATAAAATTACAAACTTTGCAGCAAGCTTTTTTTTCAAACGAAACAAATCTCTTAAACTTTCATATCTATATCTACTCTCAGACAATCAATGTCAAAAGTAACAGATCTAAGATATATTTCAAATTACAGTTGAAAAAAATCATATTTCTCTTACTGTATTATAAACGTAATTTTAACGCCCTTACACACTTTTATCTTGTAACATTTTTAATATTTATTTAAATGCGTGGAATCCTGACAATTTCCTTCGTCGTTTTTGCTGATTATAACCGCTAATAAATAAGGATATCTTCATCAGTTTTGCTTCAACGAAGATTTAAAGTATAACGATGAGAAGCTGTAATTAATCTGTAATTAAAGAAGATGCTCAAAATTAAAGAAGATGCTCAAAATTAAAGAAGATGCTCAAAATTAAAGAAGATGCTCAAAATTAAAGCCGCTCACAGATAAAGCCACAATCAAAAGCTGAAATAGAAGATAGGCATTAGGCGCGAAGCGCCCAGAAAGCCTAGTACTGTAAATTGGAATTAAATGAAAACTCTAAGATCGTTTTCTATCCACGCGACATTTATTCAAAACATTGAAACCCATATTCCACTAGTTTTGGGATTTCCAAAATGTGATGTGCCTGTTCTAAAAGAAGATTTTAATTTCGTTACTTAATTCCTATGTTCATTGGGATACTCTTTAACTCAAAATAAAATAGCCTTTACTAACTGCTTTGAGCTAACCTAGATATTCAGCAAGAAATAGGTATTGCACTCTAATACTTTAACTCTATGACCCTTTTCTATGAGAAGTTTAAATAATAGAATGTGTGTAAAAAAAACTTTAAGAAATGGTTTCTCTTGCAATGGCTATTATCTAAGACTTTTTGATAAATTTATATAAGGACACCCTGTTTATTGATTTCTGTATTTGTTGATGCTATATGAATAGTGAACATGTCGGTAAATATACAAAGTTTTGAAATATATCTTTCAGTAAATACATTCAAGTCGGCCCCTCTAATAATCATAAACTTAATGTTATGTTTAAATACAAAAATCGTATCTTTACATTTCTGAGCTGATCTCCTCCCCCCCCTCCGTTCCTTCTTCCATTCCTTAAAATTATAAAATTCAGTAATATTAAAAAAATAAAATCTTATTAAGCTCTATAACATTTATTGCTATTGTTGAAACATATAGGCAACATAAATAATATATATATATATCAGTTGTTTATAAATATGAGAGTTTAGAATACTCTTGAAGCGACACAATTACAACCAATCTGCAAAATACAGAGAATCTCAGAAAACACGAGGAAATTGAACTGCACTCTCGTGTATTCTAAGTCTCTCTGTATAGATAATTAACAGACAATATGCTACAGCTTTTCTAGCGTCACATAACAACTATCATTTTTGATCTTGACAGCGATCGCTTGTAAGATGCGATATTTTTTAGTTTTGACTAAGTATGTATTGTGCATTTATGTCCGCGTTATTTTGCTACCGTTTCACTCAGATCACACTTTTTTTGGGTTCAGGGAATTTGACTTATGAGAAAATCTTCATTTTTATGAGAGTTGATAATATTGATATCACTAGGGGAGGGTGTTTAGTTTTGTTGTGACGGGAGGGGGCAGGAAGGGGGCAAGGAGAACCCCGACAAGAAGATGGAAGGGAGAGAGACCGGCGGGGTCCCGTGTTGGGAAAAGGGGAATCCGTTCGGTTTCATAATTAGGTTGGAGTGAATGGATTCCGAGTAAATATTGTGAAGGAGACCATGCTTGGTATCCTGGAGACCTGGAGAAGGACTGGATCTAGGTTCAGGAGAGGGTGGATAAACCTTCTCCTCCTTTACTTTAGGTTTACCCATGATTGTTTCAATGGAAAACTTTGATATATCTCCCTTCTTGGGTTGAACAATATCCGTGTTAGATTGAGGACTAAACTGAGGGGGACTAAGGGCTGGTGGAGAACTAGATGGGTTTCCAGGTAAATTAGGAATATTAGAGGGAAACTGATGAGGAAACCTGAATGAGGGACCGGAGTAGAGAGGAATGTGAGGAAGCCTAATATCCTGTTGAGGGTATAGATGAGGGAAGGGAGGATGAGATGGAAAGGGAGGGCGAGACATCATGTTGTTGGCCTGCATCGTGTACTGGGACAACAGCTTCCTGGTGAAGGGATCCAGGAGGTAGGGACTAGACATCACCTGAGGTCTCTTGTACCTCTTCCTTCTCCTCAGGAAGGATCCGTTGTCGAACATATCCTCTGCGAGGGGGTCCAGGGTCCAGAAGTTCCCTTTCCCGGGGTTCCCCGGCTCCCGGGGGATCTTCACAAAGCAATCGTTGAGGGAGAGGTTGTGCCTGATACTGTTCTGCCAGGCGGGGAACTTCTCCTTGTAGTACGGGAACCTGGTCTTTATAAAGTCGCAGATACCACTCAGGGTTAATCGTTTATGTGGAGATTGAAGAATTGACATAGTTATCAGGGCAATATAGGAGTAGGGAGGTTTGACAGCTCCGGTTTTCTTGTCAATTTCTCCAGGTCCTACTTCTTCATCTCCGTCCTCTAGTTCTCCCAACCTTTCATTCTCTTCCTCACTAGTCTCATCCTCGTAACTACTATTCTGCTCAAGATGGAAGTCTCCATTGTTGTGTAGAGGATAGGAGGGAGGAGATGGGAATGAGGAGGGGGATGAGGAGAAGGATGAGTGAGGAGGTACCCCTAGAGCACCCTCGAACCCCGGAGAAGATGAAAGATCGGATTCTGGTTTGAGAGGAAAGTTTGCTCTCTGGTAAAGGAAGTTACCTAATCTAAAACCTGCTCCGATATCAGGGTTCATCATTAAACCGAGTTTAATGTATTTGAACAATAAACCACAAAAACACTGTTTATCGCACACAATTAGTTGTTTGTACGTTTTTCTGTTTGTTTTTTTCAGCTACCGTCTACCCTGAGCAAACCTTCTGAATATACTGAAGATTATCATAACGTTTAGACAGACTGTTGTTCATACCGAACCTCACTATTGGCTCACACTTACTGCTCTCCTATTGGTCGAGGTTGATGAAATGAAGCTCTACTATTGGTCGATGCTGAAGATAAGATTCTGCCCTATTGGTCGGTTCAACATATCTTGCATCTGATTGGTCGGATTCTGGCAAAAGTCAATATCTCTCTCTTGTTCTCGCTGCGGAAACAATTATGTTAGTTAAGCAGGCAAACCCCCGGACACAGATACTGGGTGTTTTGATAGATGGATAAATAGAGAGAAATAGTAGAAACGGAAAGAAATAGAGAGAAACAGAGAGAAACAGAGAGAAACAGAGAGAAACAGAGAGAAAAAGAGAGAAACAGAGAGAAACAGAAAGAAACAGATAGAAACAGAGAGAAACAGAGTGAAACAGATAGAAATAGAGAGTAACAGAGAGAAATACAGAAAAATGACAGAAACAGAAAGAGAACTAGAGAGAAATAGCTGAAACAGAAGGAAAAATAGAGGAAAATGGAAGAAACAGAAAAAATAAAGAGAAATAGCAGAAACAGCTGGAAAAATAGAGAGAAATAAAAGAAACAGAAAGATAAATTGAGAAATACAAGAACCAGAATTATTAATAGAAAAATAGAAGAAACAGAAAGATTGAGAAGGACATATAAGAAACAGAAGAATCATAGAAATAAATACACGGGTGACGGAAGAGACAGAAGAATAGTAGAAAAAATATAAGAAACAGAAGGATTAATAAATAGAAACAGGAAAACATCCAAATACAAAACAATAATTAGATAAAAGGCAAATAGATAGATAGATAGAAGAAAAAGTAAACAAACATATCTACAAATACTTTGTAAGACTATAAAATATCATCCAAAGAAACAGATAGATAGTTGTCATAATTAAAGAAACAGAAATGAAAATATATACAGATTACATTAAATGAAAGTGAATTCTATTTTTGATTAAGATTTTATCTGATATCAAATATTTTGACTATATTTAAAGAACTATTGATAAAAAACGCTTTAAATCCTTTAATGCAATCGAACAATCGAACAAGATGAGTTAGACTGTCACAAAGTCGTACAGTAACTTTATGACCTTGTTTATTAATTTAAAGATAAAAAACATTGAATAATGACATAAATCTTATAACCTTGTAAAATTAAGGATGTTTTTATTTGAATAAAAGTCCGTGGCGTTGTTTTGTTTCTCGTTTTTTAAAAGTTCAACACGAGTGGTTCATTCACTGTGACCCATATTTTTTTCTGAACACGAAACGATCATTTTAGAAAAAAACGAAAAAATGATCGTTTTTTCGATCGTTTGTAAAAGCGATTTCAACCCTGTTAGTAGCATATAAATAATCCCTATCTTTATTCAATCTCTATTATTCCTTTTCACTTCTGTATGCCGAGTCCATTAGCGCCTGATCCATTCAGGGTTCTGTCATGTGTTTGGTGTCTATTCTGAATCAATAGAAATCGCATGGTGGTAACATCTATCTTTTTATCTAGCTCATTATCCAATTAGAGATGAATACTTATATGGGCGCTATAACAGTAAATGGAAAGATTTACTTCTACTGAAACTATAGTGTTTTTGGGTACTATAAGACATTAGAAAATTACACCAAAGCTATTTTGATTATCTTTAGGTATCTTTAGTTGAAATGGTTTAAATCACTAATGGCTCAAAATTACCAACAACAAGCATTTTTCTTTCCATATTGACCTTTTAACAGAAACATTACGAGATTGTAATGATACTCAATTATCCGTATTACTCTCATTAGAGACTAAAATGTAATTTATTCCGTTCATGAATCATACTGATATAGAGTTGATTTTGCTAGAATATGAAAATATAACCAGGCTGAAACAAGATAAAAATGCCAAAAAAGAATTGTGGGCATATACTTTTTTGATAAACAATATATTTCCAACTCTAGATTATAATTTATGCCCTAGGGATAAAAAGTTTTGTCCTTAAACCCTGGGAGGGCGTTAACTGCCAGTTTTACTGTTTGGTCATCTTGAGATTTTGTTCCTTTAAATTTTATGTCGGGGTAGAAAATATCATCGCCATAACGAGTAACGTCGGGGAATACTTTTTTTAATAGATTATTTACGAAAACCCAAACCGAGGATAGTTTCGATGGTTCTTAGATAATAAAATATTTTTCCTTAACTTAAGTATATTTTGAGATATTTTTAATTTTAAATCTTATTCTTCTCCCGTGAAAGATTCAGGGTAATCCGCAAATAATGAGACTTCAGAGACGACTGTACAGAATCTATACTGTCTGTTTACTTATTTGTTTTAATAAGCCCTTTTTTAATAAGTCTTTTGACTTTGTTACATGTATAACACTTAATCTTACCTTGGGATCGCCATATCTTAAGAGTTTCAAGTCGTCTTTACAGTCTCATGCTTTGTGAGTAACCATGTATAAGCAAACTCTTCTTTAGTTACGGTTTATGAATTATAAGGAGATCCATTTTCCTTTTCAGATTTAAGATTAACCAAAACATTTAAAGACAAAACATCTGAAAATGAAATCTTACAAAGAACAAAGATTTAACAGTTCTGAACTTTTGACCGATTTAACATAAATATTTCTCTTTTCCTCTTTTATAACTTTATGAGAGTGTCGTCGGGTATGTTTTAAATAAAAAGTACGAAACTACAGCTCTGTATGTTTAAAGATTGTTGAAATATAAACCAATATGCTTTAAATTCAGATTAAAGAAAGCAAACGCCTGGGTAGTCAAGGATAAAAGATTTGTTTTATTCCATACAATAATTACATTCAATCTTTTCTTTACGAAAATTAACTTCTGTATTTTAGAATTGATTTCATGAGGTAAAGTAGTAAAAAAGACTACACAAGTACAGGGTGTATACAGAAAACAGGAGACTACACAAGTACAGGGTGTATACTGTATACAGAATACAGGAGACTACACAAGTACAGGGTGTATTCAGAATACAGGAGACTACACAAGTGTAGGGTGTATATAGAATACAGGAGACTACACAAGTGCAGGATGTATACAGAATACAGGAGACTACACAAGTGCAGGGTGTATACAGAATACAGGAGACTACACAAGTACAGGGTGTATACAGAATACAGGAGACTACACACAAGTACAGGGTGTATACTGTATATAGAATACAGGAGACTACACAAGTAGAGGGTGTATACAGAATACAGGAGACTACACAAGCACAGGGTGTATACAGAATACAGGAGACTACACAAGTGCAGGATGTATACAGAATACAGGAGACTACACAAGTGCAGGTTGTATACAGAATACAGGAGACTACACAAGTGTAGGGTGTATACAGAATACAGGAGACTACACCAGTGCAGGATGTATACAGAATACAGGAGACTACACCAGTGCAGGGTGTATATAGAATACAGGAGACTACACAAGTGCAGGATGTATACAGAATACAGGAGACTACACAAGTACAGGGTGTATACAGAATACAGGAGACCACACAAGTACAGGGTGTATACTGTATATAGAATACAGGAGACTACACAAGTAGAGGGTGTATACAGAATACAGGAGACTACACAAGTACAGGGTGTATACAGAATATACAGTGTTTCAACTAACGAACCATAGACTACAAGTCTACGAGTACTGATCTATGTACAGATGAATGAATATAATGAATAATTAGCAGAAAATGGCAGTTAGATTAGTTTAGCACTAATGTGTTAACCCTTCCACCCCCTCCCCCCAGCCCCCCCTGGGATTACAGATTTAACACTCACTTAACAATTATTACTAGACGAAGACAACATGTATTCTAAAATTTCATTTATTCATCAATTTATCCAAAAATAAATTATATCCAAATTGATAAATCGTATCACTGATTCACAGTGATATCAACTTGTAAAAGTGGGTTTAATGAAGAAGTCAAGTTATATTATGAAGAGTCAAATAAACACGAAACTCAGCAATTGCATTAATTGCATAAATTTAAATTCATTAAAAATCAATCCTCTAGACTTGTTTACCCATTTTTCCGTTCCTTTAATTTTATCCACCTTAGAATTATTGATTTCTGAAACATTTAATGAATATTTATCTTTTTTCGTTAGATTTTAAGTGTACAGACTCAAAATTTAATAGCAGTGCTCTAAATCTGCAGTCTGTACATACTATACAGGGTTACCTACAAAGGATGAGAGTTTATATATACAGGGTTACCCACAAAGGATTAGACTTAAGAGACGATTGTACGGAATTTAAACTGTCTGTCATTTGTAGACTACATCCCAGACAGAATACTTAACTTAAACTTGGAATCGTCATGTGTCAAGTGTTTCAAGTCGTCTTCACCGTCTCATTCTTTGTGGGTAACACTGTAACTACGGCGCTTGGCCCAATCTAATCTATAACATTATACAATGAAGGAAGGAAGGAAAGGACGGGGAGGGGGGGGGGGGAATTATGTGCTATACGATTTCAAAAAATTATGAAAAATATTCGTTTTTCTATTTAAAAACTGATGATTTCTAATCGCAGTTTTCCCATAAAGCAACTAATTTACAGAATTAAACACTTTTTAAGAAGGAAAAACGACGATATCTTTCCCAATGCTGCTGAGACAAACATGTTAAGGGCACCGTTGGGAACGCGCAAATACATTTTGGAAAGGAAATTTGCTTGAAATTACGCTGGCAGTGTACCTTTCACCAGAAACAAGCAGAATTAGAACTACAGGGCACAAAAAAAAGGCTAAAATATATTGATTATGGCATCGATATCATCATATCAGCTTAACAAAGAAAACTTCGATCACAACAAGGTTATAATGCAAGAAAAAGTAATTTCAGAGGTGTACGCATCTTTTGTACTACAGTGTACTGTCTCTAGACCCCTCCCTTCTAACATTTTCTATGATATTTCACTGTGTTTACAGATCAGGACCGAACGATGTGCATGGCTAGAACA